TATTTTCATTTTTAATTTGTTTTTTTTTTTGTGTTTTTTTTTTTGTTTTGTTTTTTTTTGTTCTTATTGGGTGATATTTACTACTCTGGCTATAGGTCACTATTCCATTCTTTCTTTCAACACTTTAAAGTTGTCCTGCCACTCCCTTATGGCCTTTAAAGTTGCTGTTGATTATTCTGCTGTTAAGTCCTTCTAATGTATTTTTCATTTCAGTTATTGTATTCTTTATCTCTGCTTGTTTCTTCATTTTATTAGCTCTTTTTTTAAGTTCTCTTTCTCTGAGTTCCTCTATTCTACTCTGAATTTTGTTAAGAATTCTTATGACCATTTCTTTGGATTTTTTAATCAGGCAAATTACTTATCCCCCTTTTATTAAATTTTTCTCTTTGTGGTTTTGTGTTCCTTCCATTGGGGCCTATTCTTCTGTCTCCCTATTTTATTTGACTTTCTGTGTTTGTTTCTATGAGTTAAGTGAAATAATTATCTCTCCAAATCTTGAAAAAGTGGCCTCTGTGAAGACTATGTTAGTTAGTTTTGTAGGCTGGTCTGTCCAAAGGTAGTGGTTTCTTGGAAGGACAGCCTGGTATATGCACATATGCAGTGGCTCCCTGTTGTTCTGTCCTTGGCCAAATGGGAGTTAGCATGTGGAGACCTGGTGTGTGTACACTTCCTTGACCTTCTGATCTGGGTGGGGGTGCCAGGTGTGTGCTCACAGAAGAACCCCACTAGTTCATTTTCTCTGGATGGTGCATCCCCATGTGTGCATGCAGGAGTGGCCCACTATCTTCTAACTGGACTCCTTGCATGTAGGCACCTCAGTGCTTTGCTAGTTCTACACTCTCTCTGTGCAGCAGCACCATACTATACCTGCTGGATCAATCTCAGAGGCCCCATGTGTGCATGCTATGGTGGTGCTCCCCTCTTTATGCTCAAAGTAGCTCCAGGAATGGTGGAGGGGACATGCAACAGCAACCTGGCAGTTTAGCCAAAGAACCTAGAGAGCTCCTGCCCTCTATCCACGTGTAAGGGAGACATGAACAATGGTGCTCACCAGTTTCTCCTGTTCTGGAGAGACTCTCAGCTCCTGAGAGCTCTACAGAACCATAACTTTCTATCTATCATCTGTCTATCTATCATCTGTATCATCTATCATTTATCTATCATCTATCTATCTTTCTGTTGTTTATTATGCAGAAGCTGTTCAGTTGGCCTTCACTTATCTCTCAGGAGGGATTACTTTAAATATAGGTGTATATTTGAGGTGTTCTTAGAAAGGAACAAACTCAGCATCCTCCTATATCACCATCTTGGACCCTCCTTGAGGATGTATTTTTAAGGGAGGTCTTTTTAAAAAATACAGGCATGATTAGTAAATGATGGGCTTGTTGGATATCACAATACTAATTCTTCTAGAATAAGTTACTACACACACTCAACAGAACATAAAACAAAGCATATTTCTTATGAGAGGAGTCACACTCATTGGAGAAACAGCTTTACCAGTAATTTTTCAGCCTAAGCATATCAAGGAGACAAATCTCTTCACAACTAAAAAATGCACTTCTGTTTAAGTATGGGGGTTCCTGTTAAGCTGTCCATCTCCTATGGAGTTTATTCTGGAGTGACTACTACTAGGTAATTTAAGTTAACAGGAATGTTGCTCAGGGCAAAGAATTCAGTTCTGGATTCTCCAGGCAACACCCTCAGCCCCACAACTAACTAACACGGCTCACCGCCAAGCTTTGCAGAGCTGGCCCTGAGAGCAGGAGCTCTTTTCACTTCAGTCATTATACATTTTAGTTCACACAATCAAGATTCAACAGATATTTCTGAGTGCTACTTAAACATGAGACTGTTTGGCCTTAAGTACAATATTTGACATTTAGCCCTACTATATTTCATCTTATATTTAAACCACCATCCCAATTATAAGGGTCTTCTTGAACACTAATACTCTATCATATATTTCCTATTCCTACATAATCAATTCATTGAATAAAAAGCCTGTAGCTTCTGTTCCAATATAGACTGAACAACAAGTTAACTTGAACAAAACAAGACATTTATTCAGTTAAAATGTAATATTTTAAACATCATCTTTTGGGTGTAGTCTATATTCTGTAAAAAATCCTATTTCCAATACTAAGGAAATGTATGCTAAAGTCAATGTTTCCTTAAAAATAGTAAATACTGCTGAGACCGGTTTGGCTCAGTGGATAGAGCGTTGGCCTGCGGACTGAAAGGTCCCGGGTTCAATTCTGGTCAAGGGCATGTACCTTGGTTGCGGGCACATCCCCAGTAGGGGGTGTGCAAGAGGGAGCTAATAGATGATTCTCTCTCATCATTGCTTCTAACTATCTCTCTCCCTTTCTCTCTGTAAAATATCAATAAAATATATTTTTTTAAAATAGTAAATACTCAGGTTGTGTAACCTGTACCATAAGCTTAAAGGTATTTATTTTTCAAAGTTTTGAAAGATAATCATGGTCAAGGTCCAAAAAAGTACAAATCAAACATAATACATTGGTCATCAATGTGCCAGACCCATGTAATTTAGCAGCAGGTAAGTACATATTATTCATATATACTTGAAAGATTACATGTATCCATGTATTACAATTGGCTAGGTTATCTCGATTTTATTATTTAGTTTTAATGAGTGACTTTCAGAGACAAAAGTTGGTGAAAATAATAGCTGATATAGAACACTGTGGCTCATTTTCTATCTTGTCAAAAACTTCTCAGATTTTTACCTATGCCATAAGCATAGAATTCATTTCAGAGTAGAATCCAGAGAAATAAGAATGCCTATGCTACTGTTAATGCATAATAATTAGATTATTTGGGGCTTTTAAACCACCCTATCTATGATCTTAACATCTTGACTTATTGATTTTCTCATTTTGAAAAACATAACCTCTAAATCCAATTTATAGATCAACAGTATCAGCAGTGCAGGAACAGTGCTTGATGAAAAAAATTTAGGCATTACTACAGTATTTTCAAAAGAACTTTAAGTCACTTAGAAACATTCATAATAAAAATTTCTAAAGGAGTTCTTTTTAGCTATAAGGAAACATTAGCATGGGAGTGGGAGACTTTTAATATTTTCTATAAAATGACCTAGAAAGGCATTTTTTGCTTTTTGGAGCTCTAAATGAAAACTAGGTCCCAGCCTCTGACCTAAGAAATGATTCTGAGATAATAAATATCAGAAAGCTTGGTCTAGCTTACCTAAAAAGGAGAGCTTAAGAAGGACTCTGAGAACTGTTATGTGTCATGTTGGCCATCTCCCAAGAAATACTGTCTTGTGCCCTAAAAACTGAGTGGAAGGAATACATTGATGATGAAATTCTTTAGCACTAAGCTGGAGTCAAAAAGGCTCCTTACTTTTTTTTATATTTGCCTTTACTTAACAGAGATTTTTGCTTTACCTGATGTGATAATCTTCTTGCATTACAACTTTGTTTTGGAAAACAGTAAAAACAGCATTTTCTTCACAAAGACCATGTAATTTACTTAGTCCTTGCTTCATTTCACACTTCTCAATAGTTTATTCTATGGTAGAAGCAGTTACATATTAAAATGCATATTCAACATTTTGTTCATATTTGACATTTTCTAAAAGTCTTCATGATAGAAATTCTGTGTACTTAAGACTCTTGCCCTGTACTCCTTTCTGGAATGACATTGTATGTCAGTAGATAAGGTTTGGTTATAAAAACTTTAAGGCAGAAAGTTTTCTCCCAAAATAGTAAATATCTCAAGTTTATAATCTATTTCATAATATTAAAGGTATTTTTCTTTCAAAATTTGAAAGCTATTTATGACCAGGGCCCAAAAATCTACCCAATAGCCTTCAATGTGCCAAACCCATGTAACAGGTGAAGCAAGAAGAGATGCTTGGAAGACTGGTTGTGATGGAGATTGGTAGTGGTAATGCTTTGTGTTTGAAGATAATAATAAATACTTTGATGACTTAATTTTTTGTGCACTATACCTTATGTTAAGCACAATACATTAAACTGATAACCCAGAGAATGTTTTGGAAAGAGCATTATAATAAGAGGTTTTTGGTCAAGAATTAGAAACAAATAGGTCCTTAAGTATTTTGAAAAATCTAGAACCAGATATATTGACATATAATTAAGAATGACCAAATTGATTTTTCTAATATTTTGTCAGGTTACAGTTATCTCTTTCCACATTCCCAAACTTTCCTTAAACCAATTATATGGTTATGATATGGTGACACCAAAAATTAGTAGCCATAGGTGAACATGGCCCAGTTATATTAATCTGACCATAAGTTCTAAATTAGTTTTAGAAATTGTCTACTGACAAAAATTGTTAAAAAATAAAATGTAAGAAAATTACATATCATATCTCACACTTGTTCAGGAAGTATGTAGACAATGTTTAGCCCTTTGAAATGACTATATCTAGCAATATTATAAAATATTCTCAATGTGGAAGGCAATCTCATTAAATAAAATTCCACTTAGATTGTTAATTATATTTTATGTTAATTGAATAGTCATAGTTTAGTAGGTATGAAGCCAAACATATGAAAGTCTCTTCCTTAACATTTAGCAGTGGTATAATTTATTTGGGGCTGTAGTTCATTCACATTACTCAGTTGACCTCAGAATTCTACTATGTTCACATATTATTCACATTTAGATACTAAAATCATAAAGCAATAAAAGTCTTGACTTCTGGTCTCCATACTGACAAAATCTAAACCAACTAACCAGAGAATCTGAAAGATTACAAATTACCTTTTTAACAACATGCTTCCCACTAGAGCTTGTTTTTAACTGGGCCGCTCTGCATGTCGAATGGGTACCACATTGCAACCATTTATCAAGTCTGGGCAAGCAATGCTAACACTGCTGATGGTTCTGCTGGTGGAAGAGGGCCGTGCTTTCCGTTGCATGCAGACACTGACCCTGTACTCTGTTTCCTTTCCTGTTTCCTGTGCCATGCTTGCTGTGTAGCAAATGGAATCTCTGGCAGTAAGTTACCTTTCTTTCATACTCTCTGCCCATTTGAGGCATGGACCCATAACATGGTTCTACTGTTACTACTATATCTCTTAGCATGTTTCCCCTTTTTCCTTCCATTTTATATTATTTGGAAGATTGAGATATGCAGGTTTGTTAGTAGTGTTCTGGGCTGCTTTTGGCCCAAAAGTAGAAACCTATGTTGCTATGAACTCTCATACTGTCAGTGGAATATCCTGATTAATAACTACCATTATCTGACACTTGGAAAGTCAGAGATTTCATAGCTAGGTTTCACCCTAAATTGTGAAGGTAACATTTTTTAAACAATAGTTTTTTATCTTTCTGTGAATCTCTGGTAGTTATTTTTATACCAGATTTTAAAAGATTTTCCATAAGGAAAAGTTCAAAATACGACGTTTTTCTGAAACAACCAAAGATCTAGTTTGGAGTAACTGTGAGTGTAGCTACTTCTTTAACCTGAGGCTGGTTTCCAGCAATGAGAGATCAGGTAAATCTAAGTAGAATTTTATCCCCCTAAGGACCAAAGAAAGGATGAGAGGAGAAAGAAAACTTCATTCACCATGCTTTCAAATGAGCTTTAGTAAATTTATAAAATTATGGTAGAATCCAAAGTCTGTTAATAATACTGCTAATAGAATATTCTTCTTGAAACTAAACTAAAATTTAAATTATTGTCATTTCTCTCCTTAAACTGATTCAGGGGAACAATTTTAAGTCATCATAGTAGCTCTCAATTCTGAGCTGAGGTCTCTCTACTCCATTAGCAAAAGCAAGGCCCTATTTATCCTCAAGGAACCATATTTGAAAACTGAACAGTGAAGTGTAGTTTAAGCCACATACTTAACCACTTTCACCAGTGACTGCTAAGCCATGAAATTCTACCTAATGAAGGCTATTCTTTTCCTCATAGAATCCCATCCACTACCAATGAGGTAACCCATCCTTAGAATAAAATAGGCAGCATTTAGAAGCTGTTATAAGCAGATACAGCTCAAAGAGCAGTATAATTGTTGGTGTTGGAATTACTCATGATTTATTTTCCCCTCATAGGATACATAACTCACATAATGAACACATTTTAAATTCCAGAAGTATTTATAGGGTCATTTTGTATTAGTACTTTTTAATGTTCTTTTCACAATAAGTTTCGAATGTTTTTGTAATTTCTCCTTTTGTAAGCACATTTTAGCTGTTTTTTATTTCTTTAATTAAACAACTATTTATTGAGCACTGAGTAGAAGCATCGTCACTAAAGCTGACACAGCACCTTAGAGGGTCATATGACTGTTTTATTTACACAGACTTCAGGATGAGTGTCTGCACCCAAAATGCAGCCAGAATTGTTTCCTGGAGTAATCTCCCAAGAGTCTACCTGAATTTATAAATTTAACACTTAGAATGATTTAATGTTTTGCCTTTCAACTATACTTTTTAAAAAACACAAATTTTTTATTTAAAAAAAAATAATATTCGGCTTATAAAATTTAAGACAGCTGCAACTATAATTTGTAGATGTGTAACTGGCAAACATAATGGAAATCTGGTTGATTCATTCAGTCCCTTTATAGCTACTACTCCTCTCTAATTACTCATCCTCCAGGAGCTATTCTATATTATATTGTGAATTTCTCACTGATATTTACTGACTAGACTTGTTCTGTTTTAATGGGAATAATAACAGCTAGTTATGGATCCTTGATTTTTTTTTTTTAATTTGTCTCCACCAAGATTTCACTTGTACAAAAATTGTCCTTAATAACTAATTTCTCCCCATGCCAATTCTCTCTCTAGCAATTGGAACTATGTCAGAGGTTATATAAGCTACACTTCCAGCTGCTGCTGCTTTTTCAGTCCTACTGTAAGCTCATCGGCCAGGTGCACGAAGTCAGTTCCATGCCAGAGGTGAGCCCACACACCTCCCAACCCTGAGCGCTGCCATGAAAATCTTTCCTTTCCTTTTGTTCTCCATGGAGACTGAGGCAATTGTACATCCAATGGGTCAAGCCTTCTGCCTGCTAATCAATAACCGAGTCTGCCCACTAGACCAGCCAAGGTTAAAAACATCTTGCAGGCAGTTTAATACAAAAATATAGAAGAGATTGGTGGTCAGAGGAGAGATCTGAACTGAAGATGTAGATGTTGTAGTCATCAGTGAAAAGCCAAGAGTTCAGGAAACATCCAACCAAGAGTATATTGATGAAGTTGGAGCACCATATTTATCACTCATTTGGGAAAAAGGAAAAGGACGGTATAGTTTTTTTAATATACTTTCACATGCTAATTTCAAGGGAGGCATAAATCAGACAGCTTTGTTTATGAAGAGCTCTTCACAAACCAGTTATCCTCTATTGAATTACAAATTATTAGATAAAAGAGAAGGCAGTTGATATGTTATTTGCCATGTTGTAAAAATAGGTTTACTCTTCTTATTCTTCCAGCAAGTATTAACAGGATCCTTGGAATCCACCTTTGATCAAAAAAGAGAAGACATACAATGCAACTTACATGTCTTTTTCCATATTAAAAAGGCAATTAAAGTTCTACTTTAGGAAAATAAATTATGTGTTACATAGAAAAGTGAATTATGTGTGTGTCTACATTAGATAATTGTTTTAAATTTTGTGAATTTCTCCTTAATTATTTTAAATTTAGGTAAGTTTTAAATACTGTACAAGCACATGCAATATTTAAAACTTGCATAGATTTAAAATAATTAAAAAGAAGTTCACTTTAAAACTTTAAAACGTATGTACATAAGGCACTCTCCATCTTATTTAAAATCATTACCTCAGAACATTTTAAACCTAACTCTGGAGTAAGTATTTATAATTAACAAGCATCTGTGTGGAAACAGTCTTTGAGAGCTTTGGTTCTATTGCTTGTAAAATGAGGGAGCTGGGAAGGTAAATCAACTCTACAGAGAAAACAAGAATCATCAACTTGCATTACAAAGGGGGGGGGGGGGAAGAAACTTTTAAATTCATATCAATTTTTAAAATTTCTCTTGAGATTAAATTCCAAAACAGTTGTCTTCCACAACACATCTTAAGAGTGCTAAGTTTTAGGAATGCTAGGTTTAGGAGTGCTAAGTTTTGTAGGTTCTCTTGTATGCTTTACTTTTTAACACTGAATCTTTTGAGTTTCAGTAATTTTGAGGGAAAATCTTTTACCTCTGTAACATGAGAATTATTACATTGAGATTCTTCCTTCTCTTCCTTAAAAGTATGTCTTTAGTCTCTTTCCATAGCATAGCAGTAGTAAGGAAATTTCATTTTTCATAGTCCATGTTGATAAATTTATTGAGCATTTTATGCTAAACTTATTTTATACACACTATCTCAGTCCCACAGGTGTGAGAGAAAAAAAAAGCTGCATAAAAATGCATTTACTTGACCGTGGTCTCACCATACATTGAAGAACTGACATTTAAACCCAGCTTTACCCAATTCCCAAGCCTGTTCTGGTGTGCATTTTACTTCTGAATATGCCCTTCTACTTAAATAGACAACACTTTAAAGGAAATCTTAATCTTTTCTATAAGAAGAACTTCCCAGATGTACATACCTTGTTATAAAGTTTCATTTGTCCTATTTTAGTTTACTATGATATTAAGCTTGTGCTTAACTACACCACATATAATTAATTGTTTTCTTTTGGGGATGTAAAATCCATCCTTGAACTAACTACAGTAAAAATAATTTTTTAACAGCTGCTAAATATGTCCAGGGAACTGAGTGACTTAAAGAAAAATCTGAAGGAGGCCACTGCAGCCATTGCAGCTGACCCTCTTTATATAGAGGGTGTGTGGTCTGAACCAACCTTCACGTCTACCGAAGCAGCCATCCAGTCCATGCTGGACTGCCTGAAGAACAATGAACTTGGCAAGGCTTTACATCAAATCAGGGAATGCAGGTAATTCTATTTCCTTCAGATATGGTTAAAGAAAATGCATGCCTAATAATTACTTTGTCATGGTTAGTAATTAGATCACTACAGAAGGAGTATCTGGATATTTTATATACCTTCTTCTCATATCTCTGCTATTACCATGGCAGAAACATCAGATTTCAGAATTTATATGTTAAAAGTTATTGATGTTGCTTCTGGCCATTTGTCATCCCTAAAATGTTGACACACTTCAAAGTAAACCCCAATAAGAGATCCGGGTTGGCAGTGGCATAGGATGATACTGAAATCACCCACTCCCACAAGCACACTAAAATATACACCTATAGAGAGACAGCTGAAGACTGTTGAACAGCTTTTAAACACAAATGAGAGAAAGACAAAATAGAGAAGGCTAGGGGAGCTCTTTGCATCTGTAGGAAATCTCCAAGAGCAGAAGTGCTGGTGAGCAACATTGTCTATGTCTCCTCCACCTCCATAGCGCAGATGGAAGCTGTCAAGGTGCTTTGATCTGTTGGTGAGATTACAGCAATGTGTGCCCAGCCCTCTGCCCAGAGTCTATTTCAGCTCTGAACAACAGGAGCAAGCAGGAACCACAGGGCATCACACCACATTCCTGGCCTCCCTGCCTGGATCCAATCTAGTCTAACAGGCTAACACCCCAGTAAATATCTCCCAGTTCCAACCAGCCTGCCAAAACTACCAGGTAAACAGCCAACACAGAGGTTTCTTCTACACAAGGCAACTTTCTGTACAAGAAATGGGAGAGGTCATAGAGAGCAGGCTAGGGAACCACAGGAGTTCTCTAGGAACTGTAGGAATTTCTCCAGGATTGGAAGTGCCTATGAGCACTACTATACACACCTGATCTGCTTGCTTGCAGATGCTTCAGCTTGGTAGCCCAATGCCATAGGCACCAGTTCAACTCCAGCTAGCCTTCCAAATTAACCCAGTACACAAAGAGTTTACACATAGGTCACTTCTACACAAAGCCACTTTTTCAAGAATGGGAGAGAAATATGTTTTGTCAAATTTATACAAATAACATAAAACATCAAACAAGATGAAAAAATAAAAACAGAAGAATACCTCTCAAATGAAGGAACAAGAAAAAACCCTAAGGAGTTGGAGATAAGTCATTTGCTTGATGAAGAATTCAAAGATATAATTCTAAAGATGCTCATCAAACTTCATAGTAGGATATAGGAACTTAAAACTACAACAAAGAGAAAGTATAATAAAGTGCCAACGAGAGCTGAAAAATACAATATTTGAAGTGATAAATACATTAGAAGGAATCAACAGCAGATTAACATACAGAAGAATGTATCAGTGACCCAGAACACAGACTAGTGGAAATTAATCAAAACAGCAGAAAATAAAACAGAATTTTCTAAAGTGTAGATAATTTAGAGTCTCTGAGACAAAATCGAGCTCATAAACATTCACATTATAGGCATTCTAGAAGGAGAAGAAATAGAGAAAGGAACAAAATCATTATTTGAAGGAATAATGGGTGAAAACTTTCCTAATCTGGGGAAAGAAACAGCTATTCAGATCCAGGAATCACAGAAATTTTCAAACAAGATAAACCAAAAAGGTCCACATCAAGATATATGATAATTAGAATGGCAAAAGTTAAAAACAAAGAGATACTCTTTAAGGAAACAAGAGAAACACAGGTTATAAACAAAATAAGCCCCATAAGGCTATCAACTAATTTTGCAGCAGCAACTTTATGGGCCAGAAGGGAGTGGCAGGACATCTTCTAAAGTGCTGAAATAAAGAAACCTACAACCTAGATTAATATACCCAGCAAGGTTATCTTTCAGAATTGAAGGAGAGATTTAAAAAACCAGCAAAAAGTAAATGAGTTCATCACCATTAAATTGTTTTTACAATAAATGTTAAAGATCTTTAAGAAGAAAAGGGAAAGCAATAATCATAAATTAGAATATATAATGAGAAAATATTACTGGTAAAGCCAAATATTAAATAAACACAGCAAATCAGACATTTAAAAAGCTACTATAAAGGTCAAAAGACAAAAGTACCAACTCAACTCAAAATACAATTAGTTAAGAGATTCAAAAAACAAAAAGATATAAAGTACAACATCAAAAACAGAAAGTGTAAGAGGCAAGTCCAAGATTCTGGTGTTGGAAAACACTGATTTAGCCCCCTCCCAATAACACATTAAATGTACACCTATTCTTAGAGCAGTTCCTCTTGAGAGACAACAGGTCAATTGAACAGCTTCTACACAAAAAACAAAAGAGATACCACATACAGAAGACTGGACCTCCAGAGCTCTCTAGGAGCTGAGGGAATCTCCAGGACCAGAGGATGGGGGAGCACCATGGGTTACATCTCCCTCGCACTTAAAGAGTGCATCTCAGCTTTGTCCAGGTTCTCTAGCCAACCTACAAACCCACTAGGACACTTTCACAGCCAACCTTTCATAATTGGAGGTAGCAGGAAACCATAGCATGAACTCACAGGGCCCTCCACCCAGAGATTGATCCAGCAGATCTAGAAAAATGCTGCAATACCATACAGAGAGAAAGTATACAGATACTGGAGCACTGCTGCACACAGGTCTGCCCCACCCAGAAAGGGTATGAAAATAGTAAGGTGCTGCCATGTGAGCGCATAGGGATGCCCTAACAGAGAAATTGTGAAACCAGCAGGTGATGCAATGTGTGCACTCAGGACAGTCCCACCCAGATCAATGCCATGCAAAGACAATTAAGGCAACAGGACCACCTGTCCACACATCTGGAAACCCCACCCAGATTAGAATGGCAAGGAGGCACACACACATATGGCTTCCCCAACTGCATTGTGGCCATGGACAGGCAGAAAAATACAGAGCCTGTACACCAAGCACTTCCGCTCAGAACGCATTTTTTTTCTGGCCAATTGGCACACCAGAAACTATTTGTGTGCAACTAGACTACAACCAGCCTACCAAGCAAAATTATCCAACACAGAATCTTCACCAGAGCCACTTCTTCAAGATTGGGAGAGATAGCTATTTTGTAACTCATAGGAACAAACACAGAAAGTTAAACAAAATAGAGAGACAGAAGACTATGCCCCAGTTGAAGGAACACAAAACCCCAGAGGAAAAAAAATCTATTAAAATGAAGATAAGTAATTTGCCTGAGTTTGATCCCCAATCAGAGTGCATTTTGAGGCAATTAATTAATGTTTCTCTTTCACATTTCTCTTTTTTTTCCTCTTCCTCTCTCTTTCTCTTTCTCAAAATCAATAAACATATCCTTGGGTGAGGATTTAAAAAAAAAAAAAAAAAAAAACACGAGAGTAGAAAAAAGGAATTAAGAGGGAACTTCAGTTGAAACTGGTTTGGCTCAGTGGTAGAGTGTCAGTCTGCAGACTGAAAGGTCCCGGGTTCGATTCCGGTCGAGGGCATGTACATTGGTTGTGGGCACATCCCCGGTAGGGGGTGTGCAAGAGGCAGCTGGTCGATGTTTCTCTCTCATCGACGTTTCTAGCTCTCTATTTCTCTCCCTTCCTCTCTGTAAAAAATCAATAAAATTTATTTTAAAAAAAAAAAAGAGGAACTTCATCAAAGAGTTAGAAAATACAATAAAGTATAAATAAGAGATAAAGAATACATAACTAAAATAAAAAATATATTGCTGGAAATCAATAGATTAGTTGATTACCTGTATACAGAATAGTGGATACCATCCAATCAGAACAGAAAAATTTTTTCGTATTTAAGAACTAGGAGCCTAGCGCACAAAATTGCACGAGACCTGGGACCTTGCTGGTGCCACGTGAGACTGCCCTGAGTCCCAGAGTCCCACACTGAGGGGCCGGCACCACGAGTAACTTCCCTGAGACCCACCCTGTGGCCAGCACTGCAGGACTCCCTCGATGCCCCTCCTGGTCAAGTCCCCACTGGCGCTGCAGGAGGTAAGACCCAGAAAGAGTCCCACTGCCACCGCCACCACCACTGCCTTGGAAGGCAGGACCCAGAAACCAGCCCATTACCCTGGCGGGACCTAGAAACTCACCCTCCAGTCAAATCCTCCAGAGTCAAGTCCCCACCACTCGCACAAGGCTTGCCGTACATGCAGCCTCCTGTTGATAGGTTATGACAGCATGAGGGCGTCACAACCACAGGTTTTTTTATATAGAAAAAAGATGGGACCTAGTGGGTTTGGCTCAATGGGTAGAGTATTAGCCTGCAGGCCAAAGGGTCCTGGGTTCAATTCCAGTCAGTTGCAGGGTCCTCCTTAGCCAGGCCGTGGTCAGGGCTCATGCGGAAGGCAACCAATTAATGTGTCTCTCTCGCATCTATGCTTCTCTCTGTCTTTCCCTTTCTCTTCCACTTTCTCTAAAAATCAGTGGAAAAATATTCTCAGATGAGTATTAAAATAAATAAAATAAGGGGGAAGATCCAAGATGGCTGCGCCCAGGTGAACATCTAGCCGCAGCCGCACACAACAATTTCAATAAAATACAACTAAAATATAAAACGGACATTGCCCAGAACTAGAGGAAGGTTGACTGACTGGAAATTCTACAGCGAGAAGCAAGGAGAAAACCAGAAGGAGGCGCGGAGGAGCTGGAAAAGCCAAGGTACAGAGACGCGGCGCGCGGAGAGGACGGAGCCGGAGAGGAGGGAGGCCGAGTGCCTGGAGGGCGTTCCCTAGCAGAAAGGAGATAAAACTCCGACTGTGCTGGGCCCCCGACTGCTCTGAACCCCGGTTCTGGGCCAGACCCCGGGGACTCAGGCTCAGCCATAGGGAGCCGGGCTGTAAGGTGGAACCCCGGGGAAGTGGCGAAAGGAGGTCCCGGTGGTGCGCACACGGCGCACAGAGAAGGGACGGTCGGCTGTGCCGCGGGATTGCCCTGACGGGAAGGAGACTGGGGCTCCAGACTGCTGTGAACGCCACCTCCAACTCCACTTCCAACTGAACTGAACCCCAATACCGGACTCGTTGGGGGAGAGCATAGACTGTTTGGCAGCAGGCGAAAATCGAGGGCACCTTTCTCTCAGAGGCGCCTGCAGTGAGCACTGACGGACCCACATAGGGCGGGGCTGACGGAAGCCAAAGCTGCAGGCTCCACCCTGAAACCCCGTCCCATCTGTAACTGCGAAATGCGACAACAAAATAGATCACAAACAAAAGAAATGGAGGACAAAAAGCGTCTGGATATAGAGTTCAAATCTACGCTTATAAGGTTTTTCAAGAATTTCCTAGAAAAGATGGATCAGGCCTATGAGGATATGAAAAGAGATCAACTAGAATTAATAAGGAGTCATCGAGAAATGATAAGGGATCAACAAGAAATAAAGAATACATTGTCTGAAATAAAAAATATTTTATAGAGTCCTAAAAACAGAAGGGAAGATCACAAGAATCAAGTCAAAGATTTGGAACATAAAGAGCCAGAAGACACTCCTCCACAGAAGCTAGAAGGCAAGAGAATCCAGAAAATTGAAGATAATGTAAGAAACCTCTGGGACAACTTCAAACGAACCAACATCAGAATTATTGGGGTCCCAGAAGATGAGAGAGAGCAAGATATCGAAAACATACTGAAAGAAATAGTGACAGAAAACTTCCCCCACCTGGTGAAAGAATTAGACTTACAAGTCCAGGAAGCGCATAGAACCCCAAACAAAAGGAATCCAAAGAGGACCACACCGAGACACATCATTATTAAAATTCCAAGAGCAAAAGACAAAGAGAGAATATTAAAAGAAGCAAGAGCAAAGAAGGTAGTAATCTATAAAGGAGCACCTATAAGATTGTCAGCTGACTTCTCAACAGAAACCATGCAGGCCAGAAGGGAATGGCAAGAAATATTCAAGGTGATGAATAGCAAGAACCTACAGCCAAAAATAATCTACCCAGCAAAGCTATCACTCAGAATCGAAGGCCAGATAAAGAGCTTCACTAATAAAAAAAAAGCTAAAGGAGTTCATCACCACCAAACCAGAATTATATGAATTGCTGAAGGGGGTTCTTTCAGAAGAGAAAGTAAACAAAGATAAAAATTATGAACAACAAATACGTAACTATCAACAAGTGAATCTAAAAACCAAGGAAATTAAAAAAATCTGATGAACAATATTAACTATTGAATATAATAGAATCAGAGGTATGGAAGGGGAGTGAACTGATGATTCTTGGGGAAAAGGGGAGAGAGGGGCGTGGGAAGAGACTGAACATAAACTGTGCACCTATGGATGAGGACAATGGGGAGAGGGGAAAGGGCAGAGGGTGGGGTGGGAACCTGGTGGAGGAGAGCAATGGTGGGGGGGGGTGGGGGAAGGAACATTTGTAATAATATGAACAATAAAAACTTATAAATAAATAAATAAATAAATAAATAAATAAAATAAGGAAAACCTTCTCTAGGTCAATGTCAAGTGTTGTAACCAGCTCATTAGAGGGATTACAAAAGGTGAAGAGAAAGAAAAACACATAAAATATATTTGAAGAAATAATGGCGCTTGGCCAGCATAGCTCAATGGTTGAGCGTCAACCTATGAATCAGGAGGTCATGGTTTGATTCCTGGTCAGGGCATATCCTGGGTTGTGGCTCAATCCCCAGTGGAGAGTGTGCAGAAGGCAGCCAATCAGTTATTCTCTCTCATCTTTGATGTTTCTATCTTTCTCTCCCTCTCCCTGCCTCTCTAAAATCAATAAAAATATATTAAAAGAAAAAGGAGAGAAAAGAAAAGGAAAGTAAAGAAAAGAAAAAAGAAAAGAAAACAAGAGAAAAATAATGGCTGAAAACTTTCTAATCTGGGGAAGGAAACTGACATTAAATTCAGGAAGCAAGAAAAGTTCCAAACAAGATAAATACAAAAAGGCCCAAATCAATGTACATTATAATTAAACTAGAGGCCCGGTGCACAAAATTTGTGCACGGGAGAAGGGGGGGGATCCCTCAGCCCAGCCTGCACCCTCTCCAATCTGGGATCCCTCTCACAATCCAGGATTCCTGGCTCCCAACTGCTAACCTGCCTGCCTTCCTGATTGCCCCTAACCACTTCTGCCTTCCAGCCTGATCAACCCTTAACCACTGCCCTGCCAGCCTGATTGATGTCTAACTGCTCCCCTGCCAGCCTGTTTGCCCCCAAATTCCCTCCTCTGCCCACATGGTCACCCCTAACTTCCCTCCCCTACAGGCTTGATTGCTCCCAACTGCCCTTCCTTGCAGGCCTGGTCCCTCCCAACTGCCCTCCCCTGCTGGCCATCTTGTGGTGGCCATCTTGTATCCAAATGGGGGAAGGTATCTTGATCTTGTGTGTTGGAGTGATGGTCAATCTGCATATTACTCTTTTATTACACAGGATAGAGGCCTGGTACACAGGTGGGGGCCAGCTGGTTTGCCCTGAAGGGTGTTCTGGATCAGAGTGGGGATTCCCTTTGGGTGTGGGGTGGCCTGAGCAAGGGGTCTGTGGTGGTTTGCAACCCAAGCAGAGGCCCTAGTATCTGGGGTTTATTTACCTTCTACAATTGAAACTTTGTAGCCTGGAGCAGAGCTAAGCTCCCTGCTCGCTTTGTGGCTGCTGCCATTTCTGTTTGGATTTGTTTACCTTCTATCATTGAAACTTTGTAGCCTTGAGTGGCATAGGGCAGGTGGAAAGCTTGACTTCCTCTATTGCTGGAGAAATCTAAGCCTCTCTCCTGCTCTCTGTGGCCGCAGCCAATACTCTCTCTAATTGGCTGGTGGGCATGGCTTATGGATGTAGCGGAGTGATAATTAATTTGCATATTACTCTTTTATTAGGTAGGATAGCCAAGATATGGAAGCAATCCAAGCATTCATCAATAGATGTGGGTAAAAAATTGGTGGTACATAGATACAACAGAATATTACTTGACCATAAAAAATGAAAGAAGTCAGAGAGTAAGACAAACACCATATGTGGGGGGAAAAAACAAAAACAAATGAATAAACAAAACAGGCACATAGATAAAGATAAACTAATGGTTGCCAAGGAGGAAGGGTATGGGGAATGATTGAAATAAAGTATATTTTTAAATTTTTTTAAGTATATACGCCAACATAATTTTGAAATCTAATATTTGAAAGTATTCTTTTGGGTGTTTTACCTCTACATTTTGAAAGTATATTCACATATTCATTGGAATCATGACATAGCAAATAAATGTTTTTAAATTATCAGATCTCAAGTTTATACTTTAGATATTTTTATCAAATATTTAATATAAATTTATGGTGATGGTTTCAGAATTCTGAATATAGTAAAACCACTGAATTGTATACTTTAGGTTTGTGAATTGTATAATGTATGAATTTTATCTCAATAAAGCTTTTTTATAAAATATTATTATACTAACACAGACTAATAATTTCTCCTCTTTGTTACTAACAGTGCCTATAATCTGTTCTCTTCTTTTTTTGAACGCAGAAGTCTGTGGCCCAATGACATCTTTGGAAGTAGTTCTGATGATGAGGTCCAGACACTACTGAATATATATTTCCGTCATCAAACTCTAGGACAAACAGGTACTTATGCTTTGGTGGGGTCTAACCAGAGCCTGACTGAAATCTGCACCAAGCTGATGGAGCTGAACATGGAGATTCGAGACATGATTCGCAGGGCCCAGAGTTATCGAGTCCTCACTGCTTTTCTTCCAGACTCCAGTGTTTCTGGCACTAGTCTCTGACTAGAGTCACCTGTCACCCATGGATTCCAAGATGGATGTGCTGCCATGCTGGAGTAACATCACTCAGTATCTTTTCAGTCTTCAGGAGGCTTGGTTTGACTATTCTCCCTCTTGTTACCTGTTGGACTTTTTCTAAAGGGATGACAGAACTTCCAACATGCAGCAATGAAGAACCAAGTTGACAAAACATTTGAGAACAGACTCCATTTGCCATGCTATGTAGCACAAATGTGTTATTTTACTGAGCAAATGCAACTCACTACTGAAGAAGTGACTTCTATTGCATACCAAAGCCGACTACCTTGAACAATACCCTTTCTTTCTAGAAACTACTTTAGATTGGCAAAAGTGCAATGTTCCTTCATATATATATTAAAACTTGTACATTCTTTCCCTTTATTTTTCCTTCCCTTTCCTTCCCTTTTTTTTTTTTTTTTTTTTTGTGTGTGTGTGTGTGTGTGTGTGTGTGTGTGTGTGTGAACTGAGGATGGGACAGGCAGAATGAAGCTGGCCATTGAAAACTAAAAGAAGGTCAAAAGCTGACAGCCTATATATGTGAAAAGGGAATTGTAAATGGATAATTAATGTACACTGTAATTTTAATATAACTTACTATACCTAAAAGAGCTGCTATGAAGTACCTTTCTTATGTTGCTAGGCTACTGTTTCTTAAAACCCTGGATCTCTTTGCAGGGGTCTGTGATTAGAACCTTATTACCAAAAATTGTCCAGATAAAACTTTTTTTATGGATCTTGGCTGCTTTTTACTAAAAGTTGCTTTTATGAACATATTTATACTACAGAAGGATGAGTGTTAATTTTAACCAACTTTGCCATTTTGTAGAAAAGAGTTAAAGTCATTCACATGATAAATCCCAAGTCTTTTCACCTGTCATGCATGCATGTTTTAATATTCATTTGGATAACCGGAAGTAGAATTATAAAGGTAAAATATGAATTATCACTTTGTTCCATAAGAAATGTCATACTTTATATTTGTAATATTTATCTAAAGGGCCGATCTTAAGTTTTCTTCCTTAAACTTACTGCTGTCAAGTATTAGATATGTGCATGTAAACCTGCTGCACATCAGAAACATAGTCAAAGTTTATCTATGTAACTTATTTGCTCTATAAATACATTTAAAGTTTTTGTGATGTAATCTTGGTTGGTATTCTGTTCAGAACTGCCTTTAGACTAAAAAATAGAAAATACAAAACACATATTGACCATGAACTTTATTTCTGATTAATGAAAATTTTTGCCTTTAACACACTTTACAGTTTTAGATGTGAGTTGCCACAGTGGTAGCCACAAGAGGCACCCTTTATGGGTTTCATAAATGGCAGCCATTGGGGTTGTTCAGCAAACACAGTGGCTTTGTGAAGCAGGGGTTATTTATGACCTCTTTGGAAATGGACACAAAACAGAGACTGACTTTCAACCAGCTCTCTCTGTAATCAATAAGAGAGAGAGTTCCAATTGTCTACAGCCTATCATTCATTAGATTGTCACATTTAAAATTTTTAAACAGACTTTATAATGAATAGGAAAACATAGGAGTTTTAATTCTGTCATGAATACCCATCTATTTTCCACCACACTTGTAATATAGGGACACAGAAATACATAATGATCTAATTTCTACTGTCTTCCTATTCATATTTATTAGACTAACAAACATCTCCTGCTTCCCTTACAACTGAGGGATAAATAGTAATTTTCTAGAAATATTCTGCATAGGGATTCTAACTTAGGATTTTGTTATTGTTTTACCAAAGGTACAACTATTAGCATATTCTGCTGATTTATTTTTTCAATATACCTGAAAGATTATTTACCACAATTTGTAGAAAACAACTGAATCATATTCTTTCTGAGAAATAGTTCATAAAAGAAGAGGTTTCTGTGGATATCCATGCTATCCAACTCTTGAGTTCTTTTGGGATCTACAATAGAAAGGATTGACTAGGCATGACTGAATTTTCCACCATGCCCTCTTACTCAGCAAAGAACCCCATGAGAGTTACTCTTTTAAAAAGAGAATTCCAATAGTACATTATAATCTAGTCATAAAAGTAGATGTGATTTTTTTTTCCTTCATTTTATAAAAGACAATGAGGTGACATCATGGGAGTGAGGAGACTTCTCTGTGTCTCCCTTTAAATTTATAAGTCAGATATCCAAAACTAAATAAAGGATCCCCTGCTCAATGCACAATCCCCTGAAATATCCACACATCAAAACATCTGACGATGGGGAGGACAGAGGTGGTGGCCTCAGATGCACTTAGGGGCCCATTGTGATTCTGGTAAGCTAGTAGCAGTGAAAAAATTAGTCTTCAGCCTTCATACTATGGCCTGGATTATAAGAGGGAAGAAACAGTGGTCCTCTAAGAAATGGCATCTCTCTCCCCCTTTTCTATCATGGCAGACCCTGGTAAAGGTAGTGGAGATGCCTCCAAAAACACAGTAGAACCAGAGAACATTAGTAAAAAGGCAATAGTGCTAGGAGCTTGCAAAACTACTTCTCCATCACCTTTCACATTCCTTCATCATAGTGGTGGTGCCCTGGAACCAAGGTGAGCCAGTAATGGAAGGGACACCCAACATTCAAGTGACTAGGTGGCACTTTCCTTAACTAAAGTGATGCTACACCACTATGATTCCAAAGGCATAACTACTGTAGCTAAGATAAAACAAAATCATATACTATAACACCATCTACTGGAAAACAAAAGGAAGTACCCTACCCATTATCCTGCTAAATTGTTGAGAGCAAAACAGTATCTAAACAAAACAATAACAACAAAACAACAACAACAAAAAGAACCTCACTTGTGCAGGCAAAGAAACAACCCAACAAATAACATAAACAATCAAGTTAACCTGAAAGCAGAGGAAAAATAAAAAGTCTCCAGAAATGAACCATGAAGTCATGGAAAACAATCAACAAGACAAACTACACAAGTGAACCAAACAAATTCTGGAGCTGAAGAACTCATTAATGAGATAAGAATGCATTAAAGAGCAACGGAAATAGAACAGACTACCTAGAATAGGGGTGTCGAACTCAATCAGAGAAGGGGCCAAAATCTAAAATCCAGCCTAAATCGCGGGCCCAATGGTTTACTGAACAGTCATAAACTGTCATTGTGATGGAAACGCAGCGGAGTGCAGTGATGACAGCGTGGTTTGGGCCACATTGCAAGGCCTGGCGGGACGGATTTGGCCCGAGGGCCTTGTGTTTGACACATGTGCGTAGAATTAGTGGGCTTGAAGATAGAAACCTAGAAATTATTCAAGTGGAAGAATAAAGGAACTAGGAGTTTTTTTAAAAATCAAGTCTACAGGAATGATCTATTAAAAAGAACAACATCAAGATAATGGGTATGTGAGAAAGAAAAGATTGATAATTTCCCAGGCTTATAGGAAGAACTAGACTTTAAAATAAAGGAACCTAAGACAACACAAAGTTATACTGACAAAAAAACATCTTCCCCAAAACACATTTTATTCAAACTGTAAAAAATTAATGACAAAGGATTCTAAAGGCAGCCATGGGTGGAGGGTTGTCCCCTACAGAGGAAGCCCATTAAATTGTCCTCAGATTTCTTACTAGAAACATTATAAGACAGGAAATAGTAGAGAAAATATTCCAAATAATATATTCAGCAAAGTTGAACTTCAGATATGAAGAAGAAATAAAGGCTCTACCAGACAAACAAAAGCTGACAGAATTTACCACCAGAAGACCTGCATTAAAAAAAAAAGTAAAAGGAGTTCTAACATCATCAAAAAGTCAAAAATATACAAATATTTGAATGACTAGCATACAGAAGCAGAAATTTCAAAACAGAATATTAAACTTAATTATAACAAGAGGGAAATAAAGCATTAAAAATAACTATGACTACTGAAAATTGGTAATAAATGTACAAAATGAATGGAAATAATTTGTGACAACAAAAACAAGGAAAGGAAGAAAATGACTCAACTTGTACAGATGAATAAGATCAGATACAATGAGAAAAATGATTATTCTATGCTGAAACTGGTTTGGCTCAGTGGATAGAGCATCAGTCTGCGGACTGAAAGGTCCCAGGTTTGATTCCGGTCAAGGGCAAGTACATTGGTTGCGGACACATCCCCAGTAGGGGGTGTGCAGGAGGCAACTGATCAATGTTTCTCTCTCATCGATGTTTCTGGCTTTCTATCCTTCTCCTTTCCTCTCTGTAAAAAATCAATAAAAAAGTGATTATTTTATGTATGAAACATTATTTTACATAAATCTAATGGCTACCACAAAACAGAAATACAGAACTGAGATAGGAAACATTCAAAAAGTAAAGAAATTGGGAAAACCATATATTTATGGATATATAATTAGAAATTTTTAAAAAACATAAAATGGCTGCAGTAAATCCTCATCCTATATAATAAAAGCCTAATATACTAAGTGACCGGTTGTCCAGTGACTGGTCAACTGTTCAACTAATTCAAGCGTAATATGTTAATAATATGCTAAGGCTGTTCAACTGCTTGCTATAATGTACACTGACCATCAAGGGGCAGTCAACCACTCGCTATGACATTCATTGACCACCCAGGGACAAATGCTCTAACCGGCAAATTAGCTTGATGCTGGGGTCTGACTGATCACAACTGAGCTAGACAGGCCAGACATGCCCTAGAGCCCTCCTGTGATCTCTCCCTGGCCCAAATGTACATGAGTGGGGTCCCTCAGCCTAGCTTGCACCCTCTAGCAATCTGGGACCCCTCAGGGGATATCAGAGAGCCAGTTTCAGCCCTATCCCACAGGCCACTTCCCTTGGGAGAGTGCCAGACACAGAGCTCATGGCTGGTGATCACTGCTGTGACAGCACAAGCCTTTCCTGGTTGAAATTGATTGGGTATAAACCCGTGGCAGGCACAGTGGGGCTGGGATGAGAGGGAGAGGCAGGTAGGAGCTGCAGGTGGCATTAGACTGCAGGTTTCAGCAGGATCCCTTTAGGCCACCCAGAGAGGCCCTACCCATGCATGAATTCATGCACCGGGCCTCTAGTAAATCAATAACCTTAAATGTAAATGGAGGAAACTAACATATCAAAAGGCACACAATAGCAATATTGATTAAAAAAAAAAAAAAAACAAGACCTAACCATATGTTTCCTGAAGGAGAATCACCAAAGATAGGCTCTAAGTGAATGGGTGATGATACTCAGCGAATGACATCCAGAGACCACATCCTACCACAGAAATCTATAGGACCCAGGGTAGCAGCTGGCCTGGTGTACCCTGAGACTTCTGCTGAGTTACCTCAGACCCAGCACTGGCACCAAGTTTGAATCTCTATCAACCTGATTAATACTACTCGCCCCTTTTTGGTGATTCAATGAGAACCTATGTCACACAACTTGAGAACACCAACAGAAGTTCTTTCAGTGACTAAGCCTAACAGGCAGCCAGCAGGCAGAGGCAAATTTCAGGGTGCCTTGGGCCTTTTGTTGACCTGCCACCAGGCTCAAAGCTGATGGAAGCTAACCTTGATGTGCAGGTTGGCCCAGGAAGCCCACAGCCAGTCACAGGCAGTCCCTGACATGATCTGCACTGGAGTCCTTCACATGGTCAATCCTCACAGTGAGCCAACCCGAGGGCCAACATGACCCACAAATGGGCCAACAGAAATCATGACTAAACTGCAACAGGAGGGCTCACATAAACCACACAAAGGGCCTGCTGGGAACACCTGTCTCAGGTAATCAGAGAGGATGCACCACTGAGCCCTTCAGGTAACCGACTACATAAAGGAACCCTAACAAGAATGGGAGACATAGCAGAACCACCTAATTAATACACAGAAACAAATACAGAGAAGAGCCACAAGGAGGGAGCCAAAAAAAATTTGTTCCAAATGAAACAATAGGAGCAATCCTCAGAAAAATAACTAAATTAAATGGAAGCAAGCAATCTACAGTTCATATAAATATAGATGATAGATAGATAGATAGATAGATTAGAGATAGAGATAGAGATAGAGATAGAGATATATAGATATATCCTCAAGGAACTTAGAACTTCAACAAAGAAGAAGCAAGCATAACAAAGAACATAGAAACAATAAAATTTAAAAAGAAGAATTCAATATTTGAAATGAGTCATACACTAGAAGGAAATAACAGCAGAATGGATGAAGCAAAAAATAAAATCACCTATTTGGAAAACAAGGTAGCAGAAAACAA